GTCCTCTGGAGAGTAATATCGTCTCGCCCAACACAATGAACCACCTTTCTTAGCAGCTGACCTAGAAACAGATTCAATATAGTTTTTTCATTATATTTCGGACGTTAGTATTAGCCCGAGAAAGCGCTACGATTCACTCTAGTGGAGGTTAACATCATCTATGCCGATGGTGAGCAGAAAGGGGCTATTAGATAATTAATAGAGAGAAATCTTCGTTTTCGACACGTTAAAATTAACGAGCCATTCTTTGCCCCCCAGTTAACAACAGACTGAAGATTTTTTGACTGATCGAGATAGGAACGAAAGGTTGTGTCATCAAGATAGATACAAAGTTGAGAGCTGATGTCATTGGAAATGTAGGTAAGGAAAATTAAATAAAAGAGCCATGGGTGACATTTGCATTAGTACAAAGGGATTTAGAAGAGTTGCCGTTCAAGATATCTTTGATAAGAAAGATTGAATCACTTCAAAAATTCGTCCGGAAACATCATACCTTGTGAAGAAGACCTCTATGCTAAATCCTCTAGAACGCTTGTTGGACCTTTATCGCAATAATTGTCAGTACGCATAGAGTTAAATTTGATGGGGCTTTCCTTCCTAACCTTTTGTTTGACGTAGTGCTGAATACCAATATCCTGATTATCGCATTATTTTCTTTTCGAGTTGCATGTGCTAACTATTTTAGTTGTTGTTGCTGCTGTTGGTTGTTCTCAAGTTAATCGGTTTCTGTTATTTTGTACTGTTCTTTGTTTGTGATCATGTAGCGCCAGTCCACAATTTTCAAAGAAGGATTATCTTTGCTATGACCCACAGGCTTTAATCATGCAAAGTCGTTTTTCATCATTGATCTTAGGAAGCGATTGTATACAGTTGATAGTTTAGATATTTCTGGACAAATTTTGGTGCCCTGCTGACATCGATATGAAAGTCTTAATCTGATGAGGCTATTTAAGAATATGACACGATTTTTTAGGTTATTATTTTGGTTTTCTGCCAATTTATGGCGGTGTGTGAAACTAGCTGGCAGCTCATTCTGTGTTTAATGGCCTTATCTCCTTTTACTAAATTCGTTAATGTTTGGTATTTACTAAATCTACATCCAGAATGTTTATGGATTCATGGTAGATGGAATTACTGCTTTCATTCCAATTCTGTATCATAGTTTCTGTTTAGGAAAGGTTTATTTTGAGTCTTATTTCTTTGAACACTTGACATACGATGTTGTTTTTCTGTTCAAGATCATTCCTGTCGCAAAGATATGTATCAATGGCATCATCAGTACATTAGTATCAGAATGGAAAGCAGGATTGTTGTCTTCTCTTGGTAGATTCACTTGGAATTTGGTATGGAATGCTTAAATGGTCAATGCTTATCTTTTCACATCCGTACTTGTACAGGGTGCGGAAGAAATACCTCCCCCATTTACCTTCCAGAAATACCTCCCATGTACAGGTAAGGCATTGCATAGTTGAAGACACCGTTTTCACAAAGGTCTTACTATTATGTGGGAGTTATTTCTGGGAGGAATTTCTGCCGCGCGCTGTATTACCATTCTTTATATTTCTGTGAGAGTAATCTAGATTTTTATCATTACAGGAGGCACGGTGGAGTAATGGATAGCGGCTCGGATTGAGGAATCGGAGAGCCGAGTTCGAATTCCAGTCATTGCGTTCACTTACCTTGGGAAAGGTTTGAATCTATCTCTTCCCCCAGCTATGGGTAAAATAGCAGGAGGGACTGGAATCTATATCCTTGGTTGGAAACCATTCTAGGAGAAGGAAAATACGGAAGTCAAACCACCTGCTGATTTGTAGGTGTTGCCACTTTGACTTCTGATACGACGGACGGGGTAGATCTAAACATCCCATCAAGCCATCGAACTCTTCTGCTTGATCTGGCGAACATATTTAAGTGCATGATGATGTTTGACCGAACACTCAGGTTTCACTCGCTTAAAGCCATTTTCAACCATTGAACTTAGGAAGCAGTTGTATACAACAGACGCAACCCACCAAACAGACACAAAATAAATATAAAAATACATTTTTATATTAAAAAAAAAATAACAGCAATACATTTTTATATATAAAAAATGTGACCAAAAATACTTATGTCTAGCAAAATGACCAACAATCCCTATTATCTTTAGCTAAAGGCATACGGTTGAGTTCAAAATATTTCAAATTCGACATTAATTAACCCCTAAACAAAATCAACCAAATCAATCAGCATAGGGACATCACAGCTTTAATTCCAATTACAGATCACAGTTTTGGGAAGGTTTATCTTGAGTACCGTTTATGTTCAAGATACTTGTTATCTCATAAACCCACACCAAGATGAGTAACACAGGGTCTTAAGATCGCTTATGGCGTGAAACTAAATGTCATCATGCATCTCCGTATTTATGTTGCTTTATAGGACCGACATTTTTCAGATTTATCTCTGTGTCTGAGCGCGGATTTGTATTCAAGATTTTACCATTGTCTGTCCAACCATTTCTACTGCGATGCATAGAACCTGGAGTCAAATACTGGCGAATTTTGCTGACGACCTAAACACTAGCTTTTGGCTAATTCCTCGGTTGAACGTTTGGAACAAGACGAAATGAAGTCTCATTTGCAGAACAATGAAGAATAATGAATCTTCAAGGCGGGAAGGAAATGAAATCCAATACGGTTGCTTGTGGCCTGTCAGGGTTGGGTTTCTTCAGTTCCCTGGGGACTCGTTTTCATTTTGCTTTTCATTATTTTTTCTTTTTTTTAACAAAGGTTCCAGTAGACACCGAAGACACTAGGAGGTATATATATATATATATATATATATATATATATATATATATATATGCATGTGTCTGTGAGAGTGTGTATGTGTGTATCTGGCTGTATGTGTGTATGTGTCAGGGTAGGCAAGGACACAGACACACATATTAACACACATATATATTAGGATATACACACACACACACACACACACATATATATATATATATATATATGCAAGTATATATACGTATATAGAATGCATAGTTTCGTTGAGCAAATATGTAATA